TTGAGTTCGATGAATGCCTAGTAAAAACAAACTGATTCATAAGAATTATTTCTATTCAGATAGTTATTTTTACATTGTAGTTTGTGCTTCTTTTAGAGAAACGGAAAAAGGAGATAATTAACAAAAGAAAAGAAAAATGCAGAATGGAGAGTACAAAAAATCAGACTTGTAGCTATATAGATCACGCACATCTTTCTTTATTCGAATTTTTTACTTGTATTCGACTGTCATTAACTACAACACACAATGTTATCTTCAAAAATGCTAACCCCTATTCCTATTAGCTTATTGTCCATCATGATTATTTTATATGGCGCTCAGTCAGTTCCACCACAGAATTGTGTTTGTTCTAACCCTCACAATATTGGTCCTAATGGTACTGTTCCTTGTAACAATACTAAATGCAGCCGTGGCGATAATCTTGCTTGCAATGCGACTGATCCTTATAACGTTTTTGCTAATGGTGCTTTTTCTTTTACTCTTTATAATATTCCCGATGAAAGTTATTTTATTCTTTTTGGTTGTAATTGTCCCGGTTTTAAGTATAATTATGGTCATGGTGGTTATAATGGCTATATTGCTGTTGGTGGTCATAATGATTACTTTTATACTTACAATAGTTGCAGCGATTTTAATCCTGATCTTGATCTTGACAATATTACTATTTGTTGCAATTATTGTTGTGGTCCTGCTTATATTCCTGCCAGTGATTAAACTGCGTAGGGTGTGGATGTGTATCAATGAAATATTCACACCCACACCCAAAATACGGCATAAAGGGTTTATTGCTATTATAACATATTGATCGTCGAACGTTTATATTCAACAAAAGATAAATATTCTGTAAACGACATTGTAACATTATAATAGAAAAAGAGAGAAAATTGGCGCATTCATTGTCGTCAATGCTCTTGATACCTTTTCTGCTTATATGTTTGTTATTATCAAATGGAAGTTCAAAGAATGTCGATTTAGAATATATTAAAATTTAAAGAATAAAGAAAAAAGCTTGTTAGCGCAGCCCCCTTGGGGCTAAAATGTGGAACTCACATATACCCATTAGATTTCGTATGCCAATACAAAGTAGCTCAATTCAAAAATCTATTTTATTCTTTAAAATTTATAGTAATGGCATAACCTATTTACTTATGTCTGTAATGGTATCCCCCTGCCTTGCTAGTGTCTGTAATGCTACCATAGTTTAG